AGGGTGTTCCTTTAAAATAACAAAGTTGGTGTCGGGGGACACTTTTTGGACACCCTGTATCGACAAAATTATAACATTTTAAATCTTCTATGGATTTCCAGATTGTATAGTGGATCGTTTTATTTGCCACATGGTGTACGTAGCCCGCCCAATTACAGAAGTCACCTTACTTTTTGAACACACCACGTATATATCAAGTCGTGAACTTCGTATTTTGTGCAGCACGCGCACATTTTCCGGAACGGTTATCGAAACCGTCGTAAAATATACTTTGTAACATATATTTCAGACGAACAGTCCCGAACAAAAATAATTTAATGAATTAAATTGAAAGACTCATAAAATTTACAGCGATGTGCACGGAATATCTTACAAGACTCAAGGGTATTTCCGCACGGAATCGATAACTTTAATCGCTTTTCCAAAACCTTTCCCCTCGTTAATATAATGGAATGCTTGCCGATAAACTTATTGAGATGAAATTCTCTGTGGGTATTTTTCAACTACTTGAGTGTTGATTGTCTACAGATGGCCCGAAACAAAAAGAAAAATCCCTATGTTAACAAAATCGGTGAGAAATTTGTAACTGAGCTTTTTTCATCTGGGATTTGAGATTTAAAATTTACGCTTTTGAGATTTTATTTTGTTTATAATGATGGGTCAATTTTGATTTAAGTACATTAAAATTGTGAATTTCATTGCTGCCCCGGGAGGGACTTTTTCAATTTTTGTTCTATACTTTGAACTTTTACTTTGGAGTTCAATTCGATCGAAAAAATAAAAATCGTGGATATCGGCATAACGTATTTTTATGAACATACCATTGGTGTCCATTTTTTTTAACCATTTTTATACGAAATTTTTTTCAAAACAAGCATCATAATATAGTCTCAAAATTTATATTAGTAATATTGAGTAGGAAATATATAGGGGTTCTCTGTCTGAATCGGATAACTTCATGAATTAACATTTTACTGATTTGCACACAAATTAAAGCAGACACTATTTATTCTGGGTTATAGTTTTTGAAATATTATCTACGTTATATCAACAGCGAACAAAACCTATTGTGACAACAAAGTATAATGTGCTAAATTGCAAAATCTTGAAAAATTTTCGGTCAGGCTTGTATCAAACCTTCTGAAGCATGTTATCTTATGTGACTACACACAGATTCAGCAACCCTAAAAACACAGGATTCCAAAATGACGTAAAAAATTTTTTTGAATGTCTTCAATCTGTCAAGTTCGTTTGCCGCTTTTGTAAATTTAAAGTTTTATTTCTTTACTCATTGTTTGGATGAAGTGTAAAAAGTAAATAAAGTGTGAGTGACTATACAATATGTTCAAGATAAGCTACGAATTTTTATATAATAACAATCTTTGTAATAGTTATTGTTTTTTTTTTTTTCAAAAATAGTTCATTCAATAATTTTTGGTCCGCAAAATGGCTGTTAAAACTAAAGATGTAACAATTGGAATCTAGGATAATTTGTCCTACATTTTATACATGGTCTGGTAGAAAATATTTCCAGAAGCTTGGTTTTCCAATTTTACGACGAAATAACATTTGTTGTATGCATATTAAGTTCTTTAAACTATCTCTCTGCCAAGGCACAATTTTCAGATGTCAGATGTTTATAGGAATACGTTATCAGATTTTCAAAACGTACACCATCTTAGCATGGTCTTTTTATAACTCCTCTTGTACTGAATACTAAATATAATATTAAAACATATCGGTTATTCGGTTAATAAACTTCCGAAAATGTCTGTTTAAGAAGGTGCCCTAAACAAACATTGAAGAATGAATAACATGTAGACTGCAAATACCTTACCTTACTTTTGACAATATTTTTTACTTCGTAGTTGTTTCTCAAATAATTACTTACTAAAACCTCCAATAACTCCAAAGGCATTAATCTTTTTTAATTTTAATAAAAGGTACTCTTTATGGAAAATTGCATTACAATTACAAACATTAGCATTAGGAAAAACTTTTCAATCGCAATAACAATTTGCATATGGCAAATGCAAGAACATTTTTTACGTTTACGTAGACGACTGACACTACAGAGCCGCTCTAATAAGACTTTCAGTCTCAGCGTAGTGCTTTCGCTGCGACGGAAAAATTAACGTCGTTATTCGACGAAAACAATAAAAGGTGAGGCCATCTTAAGCCGCCGACTGTTTAGGAAAATGGCTCCGTTAAATATTATCGTAATGCAGTATAGGTCACCACCACCCGCGCGTTTGGGTCAAACCCTAAGTGCATCCAGACTAAGAGACCACTCGGCGCAAATTTTATTGTCATGCAGGGTTTGCCTGGAGCAGACATTGCTTGTTATGTGTTTGTATTCTCGCCAGAGTTGTACTTAAGAACCCTTCAACCCGTTTTGTATTCGGCGAAGTAGAAGGGAAATTTGCGCGATTGAGATGGAACCGAATATATAGGGCGTTGCGCGTGTTGTTTCTTTTTTTTTCAAGTTTTCCAGAATACCAAATATCAATTTGTGTTTGATCGTATTTTCGGAAAACGACGATCTCCAATATACGGATCATTCGGTAAAGGATTCAACTCAAATCCCTTACTGATTTACAGGGTGAATTATTTAAAAAATATTTTTGACCCATACGTTTTGACGTATCCTTGTCCTATTCGGTGGAAAGTGTACTGTAAAGGTGGTGAAAAACCCTACTAGACTATATTAATTAAACTACTGCTGCCGCCCGAGGCGTACGACAGGATTTTCTTGTTGACCGTCCCCAAATTCTACGCTACTGCCGTGATTATCATTTTAATACAATTTTTAATGATTCCCCAGTACCTAACATATAAATAATTATTTAATTATTTTTCGAGATATTCAAATTTATGTCCTGCTTCTTAATGCGAGAGAGTCACAAATAATTATTGAATTGTAAAATTTATGATGATTGTTATGGGTCCCAAGAGTGACAATTTTGACAAAGTTTGTTTTTCAAAATGGCTAATAGTTCGGAATTTGCTTCTGCGAAAATTAATACAATTAATGTGTTCAAAGCCCTTCGCCATCAAAACTCAACATTCGGCGTTGCAAAAAATGTGTTCGAATATGACCGTTAGTTAGAGAGTCAGCAGTATACTGAGTTGTACATGAGGATAAACGCGGCCAAATCCGGTCACCATAGAGAAGTACAAGAAGAAAGGAACTGGATCAAAAGACTCATTCTACTGCAAAAAAGAAATACCTACCTTGAAATAAGAAAGGATGGTTTCGTGCCACCCATGGGTAAGAAGAAATTGTATAAAACTTTGACTTCTGTATTTTTGTAACTAAAAAACTCAAAACAGAAAATCACAGAAATATATATTAAAACAAGGATATACAATTAACATGGAAGGATGGTTGACTAGAATTAGAGCACCCTCATGAAAAGGTAGGAAAAATAGTCCGTGATCACTTACTAGCATTTCAATCAAAACGGACTGATACTGATGTTTTTGAGGACTATTTATTGCCGCTGAGTCTGTTATAGTCATAAATAGTCAAGAAAATCCGAAAAATTATGCAAGTCTTTTTGGAAAAAAATGACATCATTCCAATGGCTTACTTTAAATAAGAAGCAATTTCAAAAAGATATTCTACAAAAGGAGCTACTGAAGTAAACTGAATAAAAATGAAGTTGTAGTGTAAATAGTTAGTATTTTTTTAAAATAATAATGTAAATTAAGTTATTAATTATCTGCTCAACTCTATAATTATATTCATAATATATATGTTATTATATTTATTATTCTCGTAAACCACCTGTAGTAAGGCCAATGTCATATTGCTTTCATTCACAAAACTAGTCTTTGCATTGTATGCATATTAGTATGGCCCCAATTTAGGAACGATTCGAGGTGTCTTTAAAAACTTTTAAGTTGTCCATCTTGTCATTCAAAATTTACATTTTACCATTACTCTCTCATATAACTATTTTGATGTCAATGGTTTGTGAAATGAAAATTTACTTCTCCAAAGAATATACCAAAAAAACAATTTGGGTTAAAAGTTAATATTTTGAGCTCAGCCTCTACAATTAAATATTTGTAATTATTAATTAACCCAAAAAATTTTTCCAATTCATATTTACATGATAGTCATCCAATTAGTACAGCAAAAAAAAAACAACTTGGGGAAAGAATCTTTTCGATTGGACAAAGACATTGGAAAAGGGATTTTTCTCTTCGATTTGTTAAAATATTTGTAATCATTAATAAATCGTCACTTTTTAAAAATAGGGATCAAAAAGAATCTTGCAGTTTCCAATGAAAAAAATGATGGTCAGTGTTAGAGCCAGTAAATATTTATAGGGAACAATTTTATGGTATTTTTTAGAAAAAGAGGAATTTCAGTTTAAGATGCACATGTTTTTTCTCAATCCTATTCAAAAGTCCAAACTTTATGATTTTTACTTATGGTAACGATCGGCCTTCCGAACACTTGTCTATTAATTTATGTCCGAAGACAAGGGTTCCTAATAGGGGATGGTTCGAGTGGCTTTTCAAGTAGGTATTGAGTTAAACAGATGTGTTTTACTTTTTAGACAACTGAATTTTAAGACTTTAGTATCGTTAAGGATTCGGCAGGCATCGAAAGCCCATTTTTCTTTTTTACGAATTCGAGGCTTTGCTTGTAAAATTTATAACTTATCATTAATTATCTATCTTTGTTATAGTACATACTTTTTTACGTTACTTGTTTTTTTACTAATTTGGTGAGTTTACTGAATTAAAGAGTGGTGTGTAAAAATACTGTCTTTTATTTCAACGAATCGACGTGTTGCTGAAACTGGTAGTTTTAGTGACGCGACAGTGAGTATTAAAGAAATTCATATGCTAAAATGCCTGATTTAAAAGGCGTGTTTAAAAGAATAAAGTTTTTTTAATAAATATATATTAACAGTCTTTTGTGGATTTGATAAAGCTTTGTACATTTGTTTGTTGCAGTGGGAGGCTGACAACTAACCAAAACAAGAAAGAAAGAAAGAAATTATACTTTGTAACATTTGTTATACAATCATTATTGGAACATACTTAACTACCTTAATTTTAGTTTTGTCATTAATTTCCATATCGGAAAAAAAAAGTTATAATAAAATACTACTTTACTCAAAATAATAAAATTAGTTTGCTTTATGTAAGGCAACTGGAATCAGTAGTCTGAATATTCATCAAAATGTGCAAGAGATTAATTTTGATATTTATGTGGACAGAAAAACTAATTTGCTTAAGAAATTTTTATCACCCCGTGTAGAATGAACTTCTTTGCTATCGCCATAGTGTTTTGCAATATCCTGATAATCTATAAAACAGATTAAATTTATAATAAACGTTTAACTCGATAAGTATTGAATTGATCCTGGTTATTCTCGAAGGGCTTACTTTCAAAATAAAATTGAACAAGTAATCGACAGGTCCAATCATAAACTTCTGAGTGTTCCCCGATCATCGAAAATCGGAAATAAAATTGTCATAAAATATATCGCAAAGCGCAGCTTGTATATTTTCGTTGGCTACGAACGTTTTGTAAATGTTATCCAAACGGCGATAGGATTAACATTACAGCCGCACTAACACAGAAATGAAGCGTGCCAAACCAATTTAAATTTAATCAAGTAGGACTATTTTGTTTTTAGTATGCGCATAAAGTATATCGACGAAGCAATATTTCATTTTGAATTAAGTATTTGTTCAGAATGAACTTTTGAATTTAGATTAATCTTAATCCGAAGCGGTAAAAACATTTAATAGAGTACCTTAATTTTTCTCGTTTATGAGTACGGTTAAACAATTGACAGGTCAAATTTTTTTTGTCTCAGTTGACCCGTCAATTTACCGAAATAATTTTTAAAATGCAATGAAATTTCGCATTGTTCTGAAAACTAAATGGAGTAGATATTTTTATTGGAATTTCCCGAATTGCTAAGTCTCGTATTCGGGTATTCGTTGATGAGGGTTATAAATAAATAAAAGAATAAATATTTATATATGGACGTCAAAAACGCATAATAATTTATAATAAAACACATATTATTATTATTAAATAATAATATATAACACTCTACAATTTTTATTTAAAACATTTTGATTGAATTTGACTAGTCAATTACGAAGTAATCCGAACACTATATTTGAGTAATGTGAGATTGAAGGATAACTTGTATTAGTGTATGATATATACATACTCCAAAATACGAAATTATGAACTCATCATTTACCTATAAACAAGTATCCGAGTATCTGAAGAGGTTTATAAAGGTATCGCATACTTTTTCTACGCGATCGTTACTTTTTGATAGGTTCTAAGACTAAAGTAGTGAAAACGCTTGCATCACTGTTGTTAAAAGTAACACTTTGAGAACGCTTAATCATAATTGAGTATTTTAGATTAGGGAGTAGAAAATATATGTTAAAACCAACGTAAAGTCGGATTTATAATATCAACCATTAATAATCAAAGAGAAATATTGCTTAGGATCGGAATCCGAAATAAAAAAAAATAGGGGTTTCCATTTAATATGTACAAGTTGCCCCCTTCCCGCATTGGGTTGGGGTGGGGTTCATTATGGGTTATTATCTAATTTGTATTTTGTATTGTATGTTTCCATACTTTCTGGATACCTGGTCTATCACATAACTGGCAGCAAATTTAAGTGCATATATGTATTTAAATCACAGTGTGTTCTAGGCGAAAACAATAAACTGATAATAAAATACAAAAACAGAGTTTTGATTTTGAGTTTTGAATTTGGTTGAAAATTAGACAATTGCAGCAGAATTTAAAAAACTACATTCACAAACAAACAATTTGAAAGTATATATTACTATTTTTTAGTAAAAAAGGGCAGTTTTTACTTAAACAGAACATTACAGTGAGTAAAACAAGTAAAATGCGCTCAATAATAACGAAAACATCAATTTACTGTTAAGCGATACTGAAGAAGACCTTGTGGTAATTTCCGAGTCGTGATTCGGAATTTGGCACATGTAATGGATCACCATGTCGCAGTTATCGTCATTCCACCCTATTGTGTTATTGGTCGTATATACATTCACACAATGCTCATTCCCTTTCGCGTTATTCGGTTCACCGTGGTGAAAGTTGGAGTAAATCATCTTCTTACTGGTGCTTACCCAATTAAATTCGTCTGCGGTATCGCTCGATCTGAGTCCTCCGAGCCAGCAAATTACTGTGAAGCAATCAGGCCGATGTTGCCGGATAAGAGCCTATAACTTTTTCTTGTACTTACGTTCGCTGTGGTTTTCTCTTTCTCTTCCGGACTCTCAATAGTGGCGAGTTCCATGTCAACCCTTTGACATTCGAGAAGGGCGTCGTAAAAGGTTTTCTAGAACAAAAAGATTACTAAAATTAACTGCATTCCACCAGTTGGTATTGCATCAAGCCAACGAAAAAAAAAAAGGAAAAAACTAGAAGAATAACGTTGAAATTAAAACACTTTCAGCTAAGATATAAAATACAGGTATTGTAACGCAAATAAACTAAAATATTTTACAACGCACAAAACTGGGATCAACTTAAGTGTATTGTAGAACGATATGTTAGCAATAGTAGCAAGTGGTTTAAGTATAATAAACTGACTTTAAACAACACCAACACAAAATTTCTTCCTTTTGCACCTTACTCGAACACTCTACCACGATCAAAACCATCAAACTGGAACAAAATAATGAAATTCTGAAAACTGATTATGCAAAATCTTTGGACATAATTATATATATTATACATAAATTAAACAAGATTTGTAGTTACGAGATTTACTCCCTCTTTAAATCCCTCTAAAAATCGGTTATACCCTACTCACATTTTATATTAGGAAACCCGAATATTTTAACTTTACTTCACTGGTGTGCTGTTATCCATTAACAGAAAAAAAATAAAAAAAATTTAAAAAAAAAACTAAAACAAAGGTTATCTCATTCACAAAAAACTTTTATAAGACATGCGCATTTACCAAAATTTACGTTTTAAAGTGTTCTAAATGTCTTAGTTTTTGGGAGAGTAAAATATTAAATTATTATGGGAAAAAATTCTTAAGTTGTTATTATAATTAATGAGATATTTTTAAAATACGAAATAAAATACATTGTAAATAACTGATATAAAAAAGGATAAATCGAAACGTGCTCGTATTCGGTTTAGTATTTATAAACAACGTAGGACGCGAAGTTTATAATATGTTCGAAAACATATTTTGTCGTTACAACATTTATTTATGGTTTAAAAATACAAGACAAGCTCTTATAATATTCTCCATATACCTGCCGTAAACGATAGAGAACTTACCTTGTCATAGGATAGTAAATAGCGCTTTTTGGAGGCACATTTCCCTAAAATTATTGTTATAGTATTAAAGTGAAATATAAAATTTGGCGCATAGTACCTTCGCAGCAGAACAAAATGATAACCACCAATAAAGAGACGGAAGCAAAACCTCTAATCATCGCGATGACTATAATCACACTCGCATAATTTATAAACAAATTTCAAATACGTCCAAAATTAATGGATGTTAAGGATTCCCAGTATTGAAGAATTGTTGTGTACTTGCTCTGATAACCTTGTAATTTATCATAAACATGATGCTGATTTTGACGAATATTTATGGAAATTACTTATTAGCCAATTACAAATACTGAACGATCACCGTCTGTCAGCTATCAAATATACGTATTTTCTAAAAACGGTTAGAAAGATTTCTTTTGAAACAGGTAGTCGTATCAAAAGGGGGAGAGCAAAATTGAAGACCCTTTCTTACCGCAATAAATAGTTTTGCAATTTTTAAGAGGATTAAAGACATACAAGGTTCCAAGACACATAAAATAGTAAATACATAATCAATCAAATGTTAAATAAATCACAAGGTTTTCCAGAAATCTGGTACTTAGGGAAAAAATTCTTATTTCTATCATAAAAATAAATTTTCGTGTTTTCTAACTGAACATCAATCTTTAAGGGAGTGATTTTTGAGTCCATTTTGGAAACACCCCATATATATTCTATTTTATGAAAATATTTTACAATTACCGAAATAGCCTCTGTGTTATTGGTAACTCATCCGATACCGCGTAAATGTTTTAGTTCCTCAAATTAAACAGTGGCGCCCCCACACAAGCGCTTTATTATACCAGCAGTGACCTAATTATGATCTTGCCGTCGTAAAGTGACAATTATATCCAAATAACCAAGGGAATAATGGGCAAGAATAATAGGATACTCAATAACGAGCCTTCGGAAAGGTTACGACCCCAGTTATTATTTTATGGCCATCGTTCGCTATTTAGCATTGAACGAAATAAGTTATTAAATATACACCCGCTCCTTGCACGTAAATCGCAGATGGGTTAAATTGTCTCCCCCGAATTACGTGCACAAAGAATAATTAATTGACACTCTATTGGGCCAGTGGAACAAAGCATTCAAGTATTAGGAAATGAAACATTGCCGAATACTATTCAAATATTAATTTATGGATGAATCGGTTACTAATATTACCGGTTCCTTTTCGAAAATGTATTATTTTTCATTTAATTACTGTCACATTTAAAAAAAAATACGTCCCTTTTTAGACGGAAAAACAATAACATCATTATATTGGGCAAACATAAGCAACACTAGATTTTTGCTACAAACCATTTGAATAGCCTACTTGGTGTAAATGATTCTTTATCTGAAATATCTGAGTTTTCAGAGCAACCTTTCCTTTTCCACTATCATAATCTAGAATGGAACTGATAGCCAGCTGGGCTCCTTTTTCAATCAACTTAATTACCTAATGATTGCATCATATCCTTGGGAATAAATGTACTCGATCAATAGGCATCATTATGAAAAGAAACCATTTGCAGCGACCAAGCATATCTTAACGCTGATTTAAATAATTTTAAAACAAACACTCTTATTAATTACGTATATAAACAACACTAGATTATTGCTAGAAACCATTTGAATAGCCTATTTGGTGCCGATGGTTTTTTATCTGAAACCAACAAAAGCATCGTAATATAAATTTACGTTAAATTAGCATTAACATGGTAAAGTGACGCTTCCCGCACGCTAGATCGATGTGTAATTAGGTTTTTTACAGACGGGAGTAGAAAAAGAACTTTATTTGTTGTAATTAGACAGGCAACTTAATTCACCTAATGCCTGTATCAAATTTACCACTGAGAAAGAGAGAAAAGCCTATCTATCTTTTCCAGATATCCTCGGGAAGATATGTACTCGATCAATGTGTAAATCTGGACTATATTTAAGTGTTAAATCATTATGAAAGAAAGACAGTTTGCAGGGCCCAAGCATATCTTAATGCGGAATTGAATAATTGTAAAACGTATATAAGGTTAATAATAATATAGTTAATAAAAAATCGGCCAAATTGCGAAGGAATTTTTTTTCAACTCCGCAGCGACAATGGGTTCATCAAGTCCCATCGGAATTCAGTGAGGCGTATATTGGGGAGACTAAATATCCTCTAAATCTACGACTCGACTATCACAAACAACATACACCGAAAAGCGAAACACTGAGTTCTGGTATCGCCCCATAACAAAAATAAATATACGTTCAGGTACAAAAACCTCTAACTGAATCCCCAGCTCCTCACCCTTCAGCTTCAGCCCCTCAAACTTCAAAGTTATCCAAGTTACTCACAAAGTCTCTACCCGTTGTTAAATTCGTTTCAGTGCTTTTGCCTACGTTTGATGTATCGTCAGTGTGTCTCGCAATTTGGTAGCCGCTGTAGAGGTAATCTTCGAGAACTCGTCTTCGTTTTCATACGTAAACCAATCAATCCAGATGCATAGAAACTCCCAAAGCCCGCGGTACCTTTGCACGATGAGACATAACTCAGGAGGCTCAAACAATATGCAAATTTCGCAACGGCGTGTACTTTCAATTTGTAAATTCGCTTCTAACGTTCTTATGGATAATAAACTCTCTTAACGTTCGAGACAGGTCCTAATCTAATAAGAAGGCAGTTTCTTAGGTTGGAGACGTGCAGGATGGCTTTTATCACTACATAAAGCGATGCATTTTCAGATTAAACTGCAAAATAATTAACTGCCGTTTCACTAGGTTCTCCTGACTTAACTAAAGCTTATGTCGCGTACAGACTCTTAATGAGTGCGAGTAGCAAACGCGCCGCTTCCTTAATGTATATTTTAATATACATAATTAAATTTGCTGTTTTATAAATGGAGGGGCTGTACTCGTCAACTCGAAAGTAACTTTCGAAAAACAGGCACACAGCGTGAAGGCTTTCATTCGGCTTCGGGAAAAGTGTGATATGATTTTAATTAATGAAAATGCAAAGTTTTGTGTTAATTTAAACGTTTACGACAAGCAGGTGTGTATTTAAATGCACGCTGCCCCGAGGATAACCAAATCAAATTATCAGAGGTGGACTAACAAATATTTTATAAAAACCTAATTCTTTGTTTTAGTGTTTCCCATGTTCTATTTAAAATTGCAATGTTACCAGTAGTAGTTCCAATTTTATCATCGGAATTCAAAATGAGTTGTGGGTGTTCCAGTGCACAAAAACGGAGTGTTCTATTTAAAATTTCAATGTTTCAATTGTGTAGTAATTCACAATTGGGACACTCTATAGATGGAACAAGTTAATATTGCGTTTTGAACTATTTTCAGTATTTGCCCAAGTATAAATAATTATTAAGCTATGAACAGTAAATTTTGCAAGAATTTATTATTATATCCATTAAGTGTGTGAATTTGCAACTCAGTGTACTTTCATTTTTCTTTTTCCCATTGAATAACGTTATGTAATACTTTAAAAAAATGTTTTAAACATATCTGATGATCTTTTTGAAAAAAGAAATCCATTTAGATTTCCAAAATATTTAGAAACATTAGGAGTGCATTTTCTTGTAAGTAGAAAATAACCGACTTCCATTTAAATTGTCAAGCGTAAGAAAGTCTACAGCCCAGTTCATTGGCATTGATTTATTATTACACTTCACTATGATTAGCACTTAGCAACTTTTTCAGTATTTGAAAAACTAAGTTTGTTGTAATCCTGAAATACGAAATTCTGTGACATACAGAGAATTCCACGAAACTTTGATAACTTCAATTTCATAATAATAAATATAAAAATTACTTTTATAGTAATAGTAACAATAATATTAATTGACCAATTTTTTCATATTTTAAACTAAACGAGAATTGTTGGTTGATTTTTGGGTATCACCGATGACCAATAACCTAGATAAAATGGAGGTAAATTGGGATTATCAATCAAATTTTCAGGAATGCAGAAAATGCGAAAACGATTGTTGTATTTTAAAAAGAACTCATGCACTCATGTGTTCAGTACAAAATATCAGAATTTATTTTAAAACCTCTTTGCAATAGCATTATTGATTTCTTCTTTCCATAGTTGATAAAAAAATTAAACATTTACGTTCCCAACCTCTCCTTCTAAGCAAATGTGTGCTGAGGTCTCGGCAACTCAAAACGATGGTGCCTATAATATAGTCATCAGCTAGCGGTAAACAGGTTAGACCTCACAGTTGCATCAATAAACAGTCTATTAGTCACAATTACGGTGTATATCCGGAGGTTTGCCATAAATTGATGTGAGCGGGTTATCCAAATTGTACTATTATCCACGTTTAACCTTAATAGAGATCCTCGATAGCGACCATCGATTTATTCGTTTTTACGGTCGAGCATTCGTACATAAAAATGGATGAAGATTTCTATCTCTTCAGATCATAGAGCAACATTTAAATATTCATTCTAATAGCCAGACAGATAATCAACAAAATCATCGTAATATAAGTTTACGTTAAATTAACTTTTACAGTCATGATAGGCAGCGAGATATAATGAAGATTTTACTACTAACTAAACATACTTCTTTACAGTCATAACAGCATATTACGCAACAAGTGCGGTCAACGGCATTTGACTCACGAGTTTATTTGATACGAGCGGAGCGAGTGACTTAAAAAGTTTACCGAACGTGTTTCATACTATACTTTTTTTACAACCGTTAGGTTTTTGTGTAAATTTTCGCAAAATAACAAGAATACATTCACTGACATGACCATCGCAACTGACAAACGTTAAAGTTCAAGGCGTGGGAAATATCTCCGATTGCTCCCAAACCCGTGCGGTAAAATCCCGAAAGTGGCTCGGATTCGTGGGATACGAAACTGACGTGGTAAAGTGACGCTTCCCGCACGCTAGATCGATGTCTAATTAGGTATTTTACAGACGGGAGTAGAAAAAGAACTTTATTTATTGTAATTTTAATGAAATATTTATTTCAGAAAATCAAAATGTCAATATATCCGAAAAAACTTACTTATTTTTAACTGGTAAATATGCCCTAAAAAAATGTTTGCCATTCCCTTTTGTAAAATATCTAATTATACACGGATCTAGCGTGCGGAGAGTGTCATTTTACCCTGTCAGTTTATGTTCCCACGGATATTACCGCACGGGTTTGGAAGCAATCGGTTGTTTTCGGAAATTTTACAGCACCACTTGAATTGTGACGTTTGTCA